CTGTCACGGTCTGTGACGGGTCACGTGAGTGTCTGTCACGGTCTGTGGAGGGGAGGGGGGGGGGAGGGCTCCAAAGTTCTGCCCCTTAACACTTCAACACTCCTTTCAGATCGTGTTTCACAAAGAAAATTTCTTTATCAATTCAACTAAGATAAGAACTATCTGATTGAATCTGACATTAGAAAAGAAGAGATTTCGCTCGCAAGTTAACTTAAGATAAAGTATGGCTTTATCGAACGTAATAATAGAGAAAAAACTATGTCAATTCATCTGAAGATATGCGATCGTTTTATCGAATCGGATGTTAGAAAACAAAAAAATTCTATTAATTTAAGTTAAGATAAATGAAACTACCGTGTTGAATCTAATATGTAAAAAAGTTTTAGTTGAAAGTATTGGATCACTGGTCCGATTGTAAAATTGGAGAGAAAGCTTTCTATATCAGAATAGATGGGAATATTCACTTTTTATCACTATCTTTTCTGGACTAGGAAAATAATATTCTGTATGCCAATATTTAGAAACGTGCATTTTTCTATCTTACCCAAGCAGCAAAAGATGAATTTTCTCCATTGGGAATGAAGGCTGTCTTTAATTTGACGGTTTCGAATGGGACACGTAAACAATGACTATCTTTATTCTAAAGAAGGAACAACAGCAATTCACTTGGGAAAGTGTTATTTAATAAAAAAAAAGACTGATTTAAGTAATCAGATGGATAAGTAGAAAGGAAGTGCATGTGGGGTGTCGCTATGGATGTGATGAAAGAAGATGATCGTCACGTACATCCACACACCCCTTTTACATAAAGGTAGAATAATCAGCTCTTATGTGTAGAATAATAAACCCTTTTTATGAAAGAGTAGAACAATGAACCAATGGTCGTAGAATAATAAACGCTTTTTATGAAAGAGTAGAACAATAAACCCTTTTCATGAAAAGGTGGAACAATAAACCCTTTTCATGAAAAAGTGGAACAATAAACCCTTGGCCGTAGAATAATAAACCCTTTTCACGAAAGGGTAGAACCAAGGGGGAAACAGCAGAGACTTTAGCCGTGAACTCCCGTGAAGTTTTGAAAGTCTTTTGAAGTCTTCTGAAGTCTCTTGAAGTCTCTTGAAGTCTTATGAATTCTCATAAAGTCTCTTGAAGTCCCTGAAGTCTCATAAAGTCCCTTGAAGTCTTTGAAGTCTCATGAAGTTTCATGAAGTCTCAAGAAATCTCATGAAGTCTCGTGAAGTCTCGTGAAGTCACATGAAGTCTCATGAAGTCTCTTGAAGTCTAATGAAGTCTCATGAAGGGGGTGGGTGTGGGTAGCTGCAGGCTCCTCGGTGTGCCGGGGGATGCCGATGGCTAGCCCTCGGCACTGTTTTAGCGTGTCTGCGAAAATTTTGCTATTTGTCTGTGAAAATTTTAGTAGCGCTTAGAGTTCGGATTGAAAGGGACTGGCTGTCGCAAAGGTATTCCAGTGCGCCTAGAAAATCTAGATGAAGACGGCTTTTTTTTTGGGCTTCACTTCTGACTTTTGGGAAAATTGGGAGGCACTTATGAGTACTGTCTGCGAAAAATTATTAGCCACCGCCACTCTTAAAAACAATCGAGAGCCCTGAGTGGGTGGGTGTGGGGTGCGGGTGTTTCTCTGCTCCTAACACGCCCCATATCCACAACCCACACCCACACTCACACCCGAACCCACCCCACACACCCCCCCCC